AGATAGATAGATAGATAGATAGATAGATAGATAGATAGATAGATAGAGACAGACAGACAGACAGACAGACAGACATAGACAGATATAGACATAAAGAGAGGGAAAGGGAGATAAAGAGATAGAAGGGAAAAAGGAGAGAGAAAGAGAGAGAAACTTTTATATAGCTATTGCTTAATAAGGCACACTGGCTTTTTCTTATGTTTGTATGAATTCAGTTAAAAGCTGCATTTTTGTTTGCATTTCCTTTGGTCATGAAGGTCAAATGGAATTAGGTTTTGTCAGTGGATGGAACATCTTCCAGATGCTACCATTTACATTATTTGACTTTTAAATTTATTTTCCTCTGGGATTACTCACATACTTGATTAAAAATCTCAACCTCCTTAAACATTTATATTTACAAAACTCATGGACAGATGTGGGCCAGTCAGAATTTCAATCATTCTATGTTAACCTAATTTATAAAGTTGCTATGAGGATACAGTGCACACAAAAACCATGTACTGTAGGCCTATAGTACTATAATGAAGTTTTATGGCAGAAAGGTAGTATAAAGATGGGGATCAAAGAGAGATTGCAATGACTCCCTTCCTGCGGCTAACGTTGTCTCTGTTTCTGAGCTTTTCCTTGTTCTTTATTGTTTTCAGTGATAACTGTTTTTATGAATTTATTGAGTTTTTTATTTTAATTCATTGTTGTATGCTGCGCAAAGTCACACAGTTGTAAAATGTGAAGCCATACAAATATGATAAATAAGTAAAGATTTACAAGCAAGTTGCCCTACTAGAGTAAAGGTCTTAATTATTACAATTTCATAAGCAGTTTTTCAAATAAATGTTTGTGAAATATATCTGTTCTGTGCATGCATGTTTATACCTGAAAAATAATACATAATTTGTCCCAGAAAGAATTCTAAAATGGTTGTCTATCTGAAGCACACTGGTAGGCTGCGTAAGTATATTCTTCCCAACAAATTCTCCTAAATGCAAAGTTATTTAACAACTGAGAATTAAAAAGAAAAAAGCAATATTCTATATTTTTCATTTTTTCAACTTTTATAAAGATATTATTTAGATTTGGCTATCCTCACTTCCTCTACTATATGTATATCCAATATTTATGAGAGACATAAAGCAGATAACATCCATCATGAAAAAACATAATAAAGACTTACTTTAATCCCAGGTGGTCCTCTTCTGCCAAGTGCTCCCTTGAAATAAATACAGCATATTCATTAATTGTTATGCAGCAATATAACTAGAAAAATACTTTTTTTCTATTTTGGTCATTACCTACAGCTTTTTTTTCTCTGAGGATTTTTTTTCTTGTGGATACTCGAACTGAAAATGTATATTTTTCAACAGCTAAATGCTATAGAAAACAGAAGATTCAGACTTCAAGGTGTCTTAATTCTTAAGATTTTAAAATTCTTACTTAGGTTTATTTTTGTATTATTTTATCTTCGTAAACACTAACTTCTATTTAGCAAGACCAAGCAAGAGATTTGCTGTTTTTTCCCCCTCATCTTAGCTAGTTAGATGAAAGCTCAGAAACTGATTCTGTCTTGGCAGATGTCTTCGTTTACACAAAAGAGTGATTCCTGGTAACAATAAATGGCCTGCTAGTTCTTTTTAATTGCATTAATAAAACAAGCATTAACACAAGATACCAAGGTATGTCCAGAAAACACCCACATACCAAAGTTGAATGAATTTCTTCATTCTAGCCCAACTTAGAATCTTTGTATTTTTTAAATATAACATGAGCTCAATATTAGTAACAGATAATATATACAGATGCTAAACAGATAAACGAACACCATATAAGTAAAAACACTATCAACATAAATGTCATAACAGAACTTTTAGAATAAACAAAGCAAAGTATATATACAGCTTATCCATCTGCTCACATTAACTATAACTTCCCATAACAATCAGAAAGACACGTTGCACCCACAAAGCAACAATAACTTCCTATGCCAGCTGCAGACAGTCAAGCAATCTTCTTCTGTCTTATAAAGATAGTGATAAAGACATCATAGAATTAAGTTCAGTATCTTGTGACTACAATGGGAAGAAATTTAGTTTAGTTTAGTTTACTTTATTGTCATTGCACATCATACAACGAAATTAAATACCATCTTCAATGGTATACAGTAGAATTCAATAGAGTTACTGCCCTGGGATAAAAGCTGTTTTTCAGCCTATATTTCCTTGTTTTTATTATCCTGTACTGTATGCCAGATGGTAATAGTTCAAACAAAGGATACCCAGGATGAGATGGATCTTTGAGAATGTTTTGAACTTTCTTAAGGCAGCGGGAGCTATAAAGCTCCTCCCAAGAGGGGAGAGGGCAGCCAACATTAACCCTCTGGAGTGCTGTCCTATCTGTCACTGTGCAATTGGTAAAGTAAATTAAGAAACTCTCTATGGTGCAGCGGTAGAAGGTCACCAGAAGTTTTTCATTCAGTTGTTGTTGAATATGTTTAACTTCTATGTTTGCCTCAATGCTCCACTGGTATAACATCCCACTGAGTCTAAATCAACAACAGCAAGGACATGACTGATCCCAGTTGTCAAAACAGTCAGAACACACAAAAAAGAGTGTTTTGCTGAGTTGACTTTGAAACAAAGACTCAAAAGAAATGTCTTGTTTCCATTGCAAAGTCAGTATATTTTGTGATAGATGTTTTGTGCACATCCTGACCCTAAAGGTCTATTTCTCAACATGATGCAAAGCACTGGGGGAATCTTCCTACCTTGATTATCATTACTCCTTAAACATAATTTGCACATGGCTCCATCCCAACCAGCATCCTTCTTCCCTTCTTCCCCAGTTCCCTTCTGGAATCAAGATATATATCTTCCCCTCTTCACCTGAGATTGTTACTTGTGAAAGTAAGGGTCCTTTCTCTCTTTTATCACAGGGACAAAACTATTAATGCCACTATTCTATCTTTCCTAGTTCTCTGTCCAGATCAAAGTTTTGCATGACATTAATTCACATAAAATCAAAGCCAATGAATTAGTCAATATTTCATATTCAGACACTTAATCGAGGGATGCTACATGAGCTTCTCCTGAGTAATGCAACTCTATTGACAAAAGTGCAACACAATAATGAATCTTTACTGAGTTCTTTTTCCATTGATTATTTTCCTCTTCTCCCCACTACCTACCTCAGTTTGGTTTAGTAAATATCAAAATATTAGAAATTAAACAAATACACCAATTTTTAAATTGTAAATCTCAGCACAAATCCCATACAATTATGGGATCTTGCCTAAAGTGTTCCTGTATTATTCTAAATCATCCAGAAACTAAATTTGATAATGCATATTCAAATATTTGTAAAACATACATACATGCATACACACACATGTCTATTATTGTAGAAACTATGTTATTAGCAAATCAAATAGCAGAAAGAATTATACACACATCTCTTCCAGCTCCTCCTGCGTCACCTCGTGGTCCAGTTCTTCCAACTTCTCCCTGTAAGAATACAAAACACTGGAATTGTTTATCACTTAATAAGAGACAAATGTAAGTCACAACAGGTTAATAAAAACATGTTAGTAGAAAGTATTTCTGAAAATTTCTCTTTTCTTCTTTTAAATTAGGTCTGTGTTTTGGATATGAATGGATCTTAGAATGGGATAATTGAGAAGGATTCTGACCTCACTTCATTCCAGTTCTCAACAACTCAAGAACTCAACAAAACTCTAATGCCATAAATCACTACAATGAGGAAACAAGGTAGGATTTATACTGATTTTCAAATACTGCTTAGGTTTTCTCTCAAACTAGAGAGATTTTATGGCTCATGCCATCATTAGTTCAAACAGAGTGTTTTATAGGGTGAAAAAACTTGAGATGGAGAAAGTATTAGTTTTATATTTCACCCAGAATAATCTCTCTCCTTACTGATGGTTTCTTATTCTAAGTGATTATATTATGTTGTTTTCTGGATTGATCTGACCTAATGATTGAGTTAGTTAATCAATCTTTAATTGATTAACTTTTATTCTTCACCCCTCCCATTTCTATTATGAGATAACCAAAAATGTCTGCAACAGAATAACAGAGTTGGAAGGGATCCTGGAGGTCTTTTAGTCCAACCCCCTCCTCAACCAGGAGACTGTATACTATTTGAGACTTATGGATGTCCAAACTTTTCTTAAAAACCTCCAGTGATGGAGCACCCAAAACTTCTGAAGGCGAGCCGTTCCACTGGTTAATTGTCTCACAGTCACATGAAGCTTTACTTTTCTTGTTGGTAAGGCAATTAGTCCAGTCATTAGATTGCATTAAATTCTCCCAAGCAATCTTGATTGGATTTTGGAGGTTCTGGGACAGCTTCCCAAGCCAGCTAGCATCTCTCTCTAACCCTTCTACAAATCCAAGAATTGATATTTTACCGCTGGTCCAAGTTCTCCCTTTTCGCCTTTGGGTCCTCTGTCAGTGCTATCGGTTCCAAAAGTACCCTGGAAGCATCCCGAGCAATGAAAAGCAAGCACAGTGAGACAAAAGATATAAAATGTTTATTACACTGTTTATAACATAGTGATGGATACAGTTCAGAGAAAGACTGTTTTCAATCTTGACACATATCCACAAAGCTCATGTGGTAACCCCGGGCCTTCTTCATTTCTCTAACTTTTCTAAGCGCCTGGCTGCATATTTACAAGTTTAAAAATCAATAGCATGCATCTTTGCAGATGCTTCATCCTGCCCAACTTCTTATTACTGGGATTGGTCTTTACTAAATAGCCAATAGATTCTGAAATAGACTGAGAAAAAAAAACGGAAGTGGACTGGTAGCTCAGTTCTGAAAACAATTTCCTAGCCTCAGCATGTGCTTTGAAGTGTTCTGTACTGCTCTCCCGATCCCTGATTTTACAACCTTTTACTTCATAGACTTCAAGATTTCAGTAAGACTAAAGTAATTGTTGCAAGTGTCGAGCCTGCCCATTCTGATAGTTAACATCTTAAATCTGTGGCAATTTTAAATATTTTTTAAAAATAGTTATTACTAAAAGATTTTTACATATATAATAAGCACATTTAAAAACATAGTAAATATGAAAGAGAAAGGAAAGGAAAAAAGAGATAAAGAAAACAAATATCTCTCCCTTTTTTCTTTTTTTCTTTTCTTTGTTCCTGGAATTAGAAATTTAAAGTATAGACATCTCAGTATTTTTCAACATATTTACCGGATCGCCTCGAAGTCCATGGTCACCTGAGTCTCCTATTTCTCCTTTGCTTCCTCGGCCACCCTATGAAGAAATTATTTTCGTAATATCAAGACCATTGCCCATAACAATGGAACCCTGTAATTAATGTGACTTTCACCTTGCCCTGGCTGATATTTCTAGCAAGAGAATAACCAGCAGAAAGGATATTAGACCAGTGTCTCCATTATTTTTCTTCAGTGAATAGTCTACTCAGAGATACAACTGGGCTGCATCTTATAATGCTTCTGTGATTTGCCTCTCCAGCTAGGGCTTCACTGAAGAAAGCAAAAATATCTGAGATCTTTGTTGATCTCTTGTAGCTCTATAACAAGCAAAACATTATTTGGTTGCTTGGAGTTTTTTCTTTTCAATTTTGAAATTTTGGAATAAAAAAAAAAAATCACACTTACCTGTCTACCAGGGCTCCCCCTCTCCCCAGGAACACCTGGAAAGCCTCTCTCTCCCTGCCAAAAGCAATCAAATTAATTGCATTTATTAATCAAAGTGTGTTACTGAAATGAGTTCTAACCAGAAAGAAATGTTATTTCATATTCTTTAGTAGTCCAAAAGTAACTCAAATGACTCACCTCTTCTCCATCTATTCCATCAAGCCCGTTTTCCCCTACTTCACCCTACAGAATCAAAGAAAGCAATTAATTATTCTAGTCAACAACAAAAAACCTGTGGTGAAATTGACAATGAAAAAAATATGACACAGGGAAATGTGTATTCTTTTTTCTCCTGTTATATTGAAAAATTTAAGTACCTTTTCTCCTGGGAATCCACGGCCCCCCTACAAAAAAGAAAGAAATATCATTTATCTAATTAAAAGTTTATTCAATTTCTCAAAACCTACAGCTACAGAGGAAAACGAGTAGTCAAAAAATATTCAAATAACCATCACAGTTAGAATTGTTTCCATTTTTCTATAAAATTAAGGAAAAGTTGGAATGGCCTCAAAATAAATAGAAGACAAAAATAAATACATAACAAAAAGAGCAAAAAATATTGTTCTTAATGAGTAAGAAAGTCCCAATTTACCTGTAAAGACCACAGTTTGATGCATACATTTTATTTTTTAAAAAAAATCCACTGAAATCTCACATTTAGGGAAGGTGTGCAGGCTATGATTGGTTAAGGTAATTTCAATAAATGTATTTTGTTTCTAACTTCTGGAAACTTTCTTTTCTTACTCTCCTGTTCTTCTCAGAGCTTGCCTTCACCCACCAGTTCCCCACCTCACTCCACCCCACCCCAAAAAGTATTTGGACATTTTACTATTGACTAATTTTCTATCAGATGCTACAATGTGACTGTGGTGAACTAGTGCAAACTGGGTTGGTATCTATTGAAAAGTCTATACCAGGGGTCTCCAACCTTGGCAACTTGTGGACTTCAACTCTTCTGGGAGTTGAAGTCCACAAGTCTTAAAGTTGCCTAGGTTGGGGACCCCTAGTCTATACAGTATGTGTTCTTCTTCTGTAGAGACCAATTCTCTTCCTTTACCTTCATTCCCCTTTCACCAGGGCAGCCTTGGAAACCTTGAGTTCCATTTATCCCGGGAGGTCCACGTTCACCCTTTGATAAAAAAGAAAGAAGTACCGGAGTCAGCATGGATCCCCCTTCAGTCACAAACATATTTCTGAGTGAGGACAGTGAAAGAAAATGGGCACATGAATACTAGACAGGAAAGGAGATGTCAAATTCTGTAATTTCTATCATGCTATATTCAGGCAATCCTGTCAACTAAAAGTATACAATTTTTATAATGCAAAATAGGTGATTGCAAGGAATTTCAATCCAAAGATCATATTTGATCCAGGCCATTGGGATCCCAGTTACTTGCAATGGCCATAGGGTCTAACTTTCTTTCATGGAGGCAAATTCTCTTTTAAAATCCTTTATCCAAACACAAACCTACTTGCCTGCTCAAAATTTGATTGGACTCCAGCATGGCAATGCAACATGTAAATTGATTGATTGATTGATTGATTGATTTATGTCAATTGCTTACAAGCTAATAGGTATAAGTAAAAACTTAGTTATGAATACATGGATACATATAAGAAAAATAAAAGAAACAATAGGACAGGGAAGGTAGGCACGTTGGTGTGCTTATGTACAGACCTCTTAGGAAAGGGATGAAGTCAATAGTAGACAGTCTAAGGTTAAAGTTTTGGGGTTTGGGGAAATGCAATACTAGAATAATGGACTCCATTCCAACGCTTGGCTCAAGCAAAGATGTGACTCCAACCTCAATAGCAAGGCTCTTAAAAATGTTTCCCACCTAGCAATAACCTTTAGAAAGATGTCTGTGTGCACAAATTGAAATTTTAAAGCCTGATTGCAGTGAGGATTTTTGATACAGACTTCAGAGAGGATATTTAGTTCTCCTCCTAACATCTACGCAATCACAATCTGCCCAACGTGTGCCTCAAAAAATCCCCACAAAGAGGCCCCCTAGTCCTTGATTACATAGAGCAGGATGGAGGGACACACCCAATTCCTCTTTGTCCGTTTCTTTTTTAGGGAAGTACCTTGTGCTCTAGATGCAAAAGAATAGGATTATTGCCTCCTTAGTCATCTCCACTTGATTTCCATAAGAAGAAGTTTGTTTAACTTACAACATTAGCTTTTCAGCATTGGATAGTAGTGTAACAATGTTTTATATGACAGCCTAATGCCCTGCTGTTTGTCATTGTTAAGAAACTGTAAATAGAGATATGCCTCTTAATGGCACATTTAATCTGGGCATATGTATGTGTATCTGTGTGTGTGTGCCTGTATGTCTATCTTTGTGTGTGTATCTCTATATGTTTATTGGCAATACATGATTCCAGATTCACATGGAACATAAATGGCATGTGAAAACTCTTGATAAGGTTTGGGTTTTTTTGTTATTGTGCATAGAAGGTAAGAAAAGATGGCCTGTGTTTTAATCTATATCTAGCATGGGGGTGGGGGGGGATGATAAAATATTGCTAACATTCTGCTCATCATGAACCAAAGACGGTTGCAGCACTAAAGTTGTGGTGTTGTATTCTTCTTCCTCCCCCTCCTCCTCCTCCATCCATCCATCCATCTTCACAGCAAAAGTATTGATGATTTTCTTCTATTTCTTTTCTACTGTAAGTAGAAGTTCATCTATTGAGAAACTTTTACTCACCAGTCCACCTTCATCTCCTGGATAGCCTCGATAGCCATTTTCCCCTGGAATTCCCTTTAAAACACAGAGAAACATATTTATACATAAACTTGAGATGGTATTCTGAACATCCTATATTTTATCTTTAAGCTCAATTCTGCCTTTCTACAAAGAAAATATAGTAAGTCATTGCAATAAATATCTTAGGAGTCACAGCCCCAAGTGCTCCTATCACCACTGGGACCACTTTGGCTTTACTTTCCACATCCTCCCCGGTTCCTCCTTCAGTCCCTGGAACCTCTTCAGCTTCTTATTTTATTTCTTTCTGGTGTTGCTGTCACTTGACACTGCTACATCTATTACTGCCACTATCTCCTGCTCCTTGTCTACTACCATAATATCGCTGGTTGATTAGCTAGTACCCACCTGTCCATCTGGATCTGGAAGTCTCACAAGATCTTAGCCCTGTCATTCTCCATGACCTTCTGTGGGATCTCCTATTTGGGTTTGGAGTCTAAGCTCATACACTGTGCAGATGTTCTTGTACACAATGCAGCAACGTGGTTGTGCCATTTAGTGTATGCTGGTCCTGCCTGCATCTTACATCCTGCCAGTATGATATCGGACTGTCTCTGGGATCCCTCTGCATAGTCAATAGGCTTACACGGCAATAGGCTTACAGGGTCAGCCTATTGCCCCCAACAATCTGGGTCTTCATTTTACCAACCTCGGAAGGATGGAAGGCTGAGTCAACCTTGAGCCTTGTGAGATTCGATCTGCCAACTTACAGGCATCTGGCTGTCAGCAGAAGTAGCCTGCAGTACTGCACTCTAACCACTGCATCACCGAGGCTCATGCTGCTATTATCAGTGCCTCGGTGCTATCTTTTAAATCTAACCCTTTCCAGCCACTGGTATCAATTATATATATATATTGAGAGCATTCATGTTATCTCATTCACTTAAAATTATATCCCTAATGCACAGATCAATATATAATTTGTTTATAGAGTTTCACCTACGTAGCAAAGCCTTCCATGGAGTTTGTATTCTATTTTTTAAATCTTTCATCAAGTACTGTCAAGCATGGGTGAAATGTGATGCAGAATATCAAAATTATATCGAAGCTCCAAATGTTGAGCCAAAAGCTTTTGTTAAATAGGGTGCCGAAATGAAATTTGTATCAATTTTATCACTGGAAATTTAAATACAATACATAAGATGGACATCATAGATGAAAATATGCGTCCTAGATAAGACATCATGAATACAATATAGAGACAAGAACTGCCGGGATCCAGAGATCCACTGCAAGTGAGTTTAAAACCTTGGGCATCTTTTGTATTTCTCCTTGGAGTAAGTCCACCTGTTTCCCATAGATGCCTTATTATAAACTATAAAACACATGTTAAACACCTCACCTTTTGTCCAACTATGCCTGGAAATCCATTGTCTCCCCGTTCTCCAGAACATTTGCATGGGACTTCACAACATGATCTTTCTGCAATGTTGTCCTGAATAAAACAGACCACTAATTAAGTGAAAAAAATAGATTATTAAAATGCACATATGTACACTTGATATTGTCCACAGTTACATGTGTGCAATATTGAGCTTTAACTGAAATAATAGTGTGGAGAATGGAAAAAAAACACTGAAAACAAGAAGGAGGACAAACATTATGAATATATATAGTAATTGAATGTAATGTTGAAAAATAAATACATTTCTCAAAGACAACAGTGCTAAAACAGGCTGAAAGATAAATATATGAGCCAATTAAGGACTCTTCCACAAAACCCTAATGGGCAGGGCAGGAGACTGAGAAGAGATGCTTCATACTTTTTCTGGTTACAAAGGAGATGTGGGGAGGGGGGCGGTGATTGTACTTTCATACTTGGAAGAGTCTGATAATGTAGATTTATAATAAAGAAGAATTGGCTCAGGCTGTGATTTTTCTCCAGTTTACCGCAAATGGCCAATATCAATCTTTCAAGAATGGATACACCCTAATCTAGAATGCATTGTGTGGGAAGATTGAGGGGAAAGTCAGGAATACAAGAAACCTTAGACCCCTGGAATATTTAGTGGAGCTGTGCACGCTTCCGCTTGGAAGGGTCAAAGGTCTTGCAGAGAACATGGAGATGCCAAGTAGCTCCAAAGCATGTTTTCACCTTCAAATTTGAAATACTATGCAACCCTAGTATAAGAAATACTATGTAATCCTTATGTAGGTAGTTAGATAAGTTGCAGTCATTGCTGATAAAACTACTGTATATCACAGTGAGCTCTTGCAGCATGAAAAAGGGAAGATTGACATACAAATCAGAAAACTGCTGGTTCATATTTTACCTCTACCACAGTCTCACCAGGAAGCCTTTAGCAAGCATCTATCTTAATTTTAATGTCCCTTTTCTTCAACTGTAGTATGGAGATAACAACAGTGATTTATAGGAATATACAAAATGTCTCAGTTCTAATATGGGTCAAATTCAGGAATTAAGCAGAATTCAGTCTGCTGTATAGTAAGCTTCAAATTAGCTTTATTGCTTGATCCATCTGGGATATTGATTTGGCGCAGCAGGTTCCCAATTCAAGACAAGGGATGAACTTTTCATCATGATTCATTCAAGGAAAGCAGCCATAAATAGCCTTAGCAATGCCCAGAAAAAAAGAATGTGACAGGCCAGTAGAGGCTGTTTAAATAGTATCTGGGTGGTAATTGATCAGGCCATTCACAAATATAGAAAATGTTATATGAGAAGAACAAATAACATGGCTTATAGATAAAGGCCCCTTCCTCCTTGAGGGCAACTGCTTTGTAATTTTTTTACTTTTTCATCTCTCAAACATCACAGAAGTTACATTTTTATGGACAAAATTCACATTAGGTATCAGAAAAAAAAACATGGTTACATTTCTTCAAAAAATGCAATATTGTTACATAATAGGTCCTTGCAAATATATATCCATTAACATTATTTTAATGTCATTAAGAATAAAGTATAGACTTTGTTATTTACCAATTGTTCTGTCACTTCAAAATCTAAATCCATCTGATTCACTTGGAGAGGCCTATTGTAAGTAAAGCCACGTCCAAATTCCAGTTTCATTGCTTCTTTAAAATTAGATACTTGGTCCAACCCAATAAGAATAAGAGCCTTGACACCTAGAGAACATTGGGGTGGAGGGAGGGAAATCCATCTTGAATTATTCGGCATAACCTCTGAAGGATAATGTTCATCCTATAGGATTCTATCCTGTTGTCTATCTGAGAAAGGATTAGAGAAACTGGTTCTACTTAGCTTCTCTTTCCCTCCTCATTTTCTCAATCTTAAATCTGTTTTATTCTATAATCTCCCAAAGGCCACCTTTTTAAAGCAGTCGACATTATTCACTTAATTTATGCTTTTTTAAAAAAGTAACTGAGTCTATATTACATGTAGTCCTTGACTTACAACTATTTTTAGTGACTGTTCAAAGTTACTACAGCACTGAAAAAAGTGACTTATCACCATTTTTCACACTTACACTCATTGCGGCATTGTCCCAGGCTCAAGTGATCAACTTTTGGGACCTTCTGACAAACAAAATCAATGGGAAAACCCAATTCACTTAACAACCATGTTACAATTTCATAATTGCAGTGATTCATTTAATACTTCCTGAGATTACTATGTAACTCTATGTGAATATAAGCTTATTCCAGTGAAGTTTAGTGGAAGAGGTCCCTACTCTTCCAGCCAAAGCTTTTTAAGATTTAAAATAAGAATTCCATACAAGTTGTGAATTTTAAAATGTGCAAGCCTCTCTCTCTTCACCTATTTTGTCCACCTACACCCCAAAAGAAGGAATGCCCCAGCTGAGTTTCATTATTGCTATATTCATTCCACTAGGACCCACGGTAAAAATATTTGTTCAAAGGTATTACAGTTTAAGTAAAGTCACATTAAAATGCACATCATCTTTAATCTATATTAGGCCTTTGAATGAAACCACAGACAAATATGGTACCATTAATATGTAGATGATTGCAGCTAATATTACATTTTGATTCAAATGTTTATTTCCAAGGTTGGTCCTGGTTTGAGACAGTTTACATCAAATTACTAGTGCAATTTCAAATATTTCTAAAATGTAAAACAGTTTAGGAGTACATTCTTCTTGCTTCTATCATCAGGGGCAGTTTCTCCTCTTAATCAACCACGGCAATGATCTTGGAGGTCTTTATAAATTGAATATTTGACAATATGCGGGATACCACTCTTTTTATAGCAACATTTCATTATTCTGTGCTTTTCTTTCACTGTCTGAGCCTATTTCTTAGAACATCTTGGACTGAAAACCTAGTTCAGGAACAATAGCATTTGCTTGCCAAAAGAACAAGTAATCCAATAAAATCCCCCCATTCTATTTGTAGGAAGAAGAAATTTTGCAATAGTTTAGGACTGCCTCAAGAAAGAAAAGAAAGGGACATTCATAAGTGGTGTTTTAAACTATCAAGAATGTCTTAACAACGAAATTGGACAAATATCTTGTGGACATGTTGGTGATAAAACAACTGCAAAAGAAAATATATATACTTCTGTCAATGTTAATGAACATGGTTATAAGGAAGGCTCTGGCCTTAATATTTCAATGAAAGGATAAAATGCTGAAGAGTCACATGGTGTTATTGGTTGTTTATTTATCTGAAAGACTTGATCAGTGTGAATATATGTATGTAATCTCAGAAATCCCAACTAAAATGAATTTTTATGTCAGCATGAAAATAAAGCCTTATAAAACATACCTTCTTTCTTTAGATTAGCTGATGCAGCTGCCAGTGGTCCCATAGCACCCTCAATACCATCAGTTAGATGGATCACCACCTATGGAAGAAGAGCTTCATATTAATAAAGATGAGTTGTGAAGTGCTCCTCAGTGAAAATATTAGTTAGCCACTGAGTTGATATTCAGGAATGGCCTGAGGCTCAGAAGAAGTCAACAGTTATGTACTGCTGACGCAATTATATTTTGCAAGGCAATATACTAAGCCCAGTCCTTTAAATACACTTGCAGCAAATTATTATACTCTATATATTTTCATACACCCTCCCCTTTTCTTCTGTGATTCCAGTAGATCAGTTCAGCTGGTCAGTTTGGCTGGTCTGGGCCTGCAGATGTATATGCATCAGTGTAGCCTAGATAATCACAACTGTTTGTTTTACTTTCACTATTCCAGCAGGACATACACGTACACTACACAGCAATCATGGGGGGAGGGGGGTGTCCATAGAATTATATTTTGATGCAGCAAAAGGATGTTTTTTTTTCAAAAAATGGCAATGGAGTCAACATTTACCTTTGTACTTCCAGTAGGAGCTGTTTTAAATTTATTCTGGTAAGACTTGAGGGTGTCTGCTGTGAGTACATATGGTCCACCAGTTCGCAAGGCTTGGAACTTTTCAAACAACTCTGGCTGATACTCTGAGAAATCAAAGGCTTCTACAACTCCAGAGGGAGTCTGTGCCAGAAGTGCTACACGCACTGTGGGTGCTTGGTTGGGAGTGCAGCTGATTTTCGGCATTTGACTGATCCTGTTCAGAATATCTTCAACTGTTGATTCCAGCATTGTTTGTTCACGGAATATGTTTTGCCCTTGTATAGTATTTGAAACATCAAATCCAAGTATAACATCCAGATTGCAATCTAACATAGAAAAAAATGGCAAATATATCATCCATATAGTCAAGGGAAAGTGGCATGATAGCTAGAGAACCAATTGTTCAATTGTACTGTGTACAAATAAGAAGTATCTAAAAGTGATTTCTGGATTTCTAGTCAAGAATAGCTGCTCTGTTTGCATTGTTTATTAATATCCAGTAGTATATCACTTGATCCAATATCCCAAACATCACACTATGATCAGCCTTCTATGAAAAACCAGACAATTTGACCATGTTGTGTTATTTTTTTTCCCAAACTTGTATTATCCCAGAACTTTGGGTGTTAATAAACAGCTACTTAAAACTGGACTACAGAACATACATGTAGTCCTTGACTTACAACAGTTTGTTAGTGACTGTGGGAAGTTACAATGGCACTGAAAAAAATTATTTATGGTGTTTTTTCATATTTACAACCATTACAGCATCCCCATGGTCATGTGATCAAAATTTGGTTGCTTGGCAACTGGAACATATTTATGACAGTTCCAATTTCCTAAGGTCATGTGATTGCCTTTTGTGACTTTCTGACAAGGAAAGTCAATGAAGGAGCCACATTCACTTAACAATCATGTTGTTAACTTAGCAATTGCAGCAATAAAGATTGTAAAATGGAGTATAACTCACTTAACTTGTCTTGCTTGGCAACATAAATTTTGGACTCAGTTGTGATCATAGTGTCAAGGACTAAGAAGAAGGGCCTTCTCTGTCTTGGTTCCCTCCTTGTGGAACATCATCTCACAGAGAGAAGATTGGCCCCCATTTTGACACTCTTTCACAAGGCCCTGAAAATCTGGTTTTGACAACAAGCCTCTGAAATCCAGAGTGGGATGGATCCCATCAAGTCATTTTTTGATTGATTAATTGTCATCACCAGGTGGTGATTATTGCCTTTTATTTTATATATATATATATATATATTGGGTTTTTACCTTTGTAAGCCACCCAGAGTCAGTCAGAGTGAGTTGGGTGGCCATATAAATTTTCTTAAATACAAATAAATAAAAATACCACCTATACTCACTATTATGAAATTGAATATTAAAATAAGAGAAACAACAGCAAATGATTGTTGCACATATAAGTTACAGTACAGCAAAAAACAAACAAACACAGAAACACAAAATTGAAATAAGATTTTCCTTACCTCTGGAGACTTCCACCACACCACGACATAACTGTTCTCTCATGACATCATTCAGGGTCACCAGAACAGCCTCATTGAGCTCTGAGAGGACCTGGGGAGTTGGAGCCCTAAAGGCTGTTGTGCTGTCACTGGAGAGCTTCGTAATTTCATTCATATCAATGTTTCTCACACCAACTGCGAAGACCCTGACACCCGACTGGGACAGCCCTAAGACTGCTGCCTCCCCATCATCTTCTGACTTGCCTGCTGTTACAATGACAGCAATCTGAGGGACATTCTGGTCTTTCCTGCTGCCAGCCTCCTTCACAAAATGTTTTGCTTGGATATGCTTGACACCTGCTCCTGTGTTGGCAATTCTGCCTCCTTTGTAGGTTATCCTTTTCACTGCTTCTAAGATACGTTCCTTGTCAGAGAAATCCTTCAGAAAGAATTCATCACTCACATCAGAGTTGTATTGCACTAAACCAACTTGAATGGAATCGCCTTCATCATAAATAGCATCGATTAAGTCATGTATAAATTCAACAACATGGTGGAAATTGTCTCTCCCAAAATTGATAGAGCTATCCAGCAAGAAGACAATATCACCTTGTTTTTTATCAACTAAAAATTTTAAAAGAAAAAAAAACAGGTATTAGATAGTTCATTTTAAGGCATTTTGCTTTAATTATTATGTTTAGAAATGTGCATGATTTCTGTATTCACAGAATTCATCAAATATAATTCTAGTCATTGTTATTGAGAGCAATCATAATGTATTTTCTGAATAAGCACTTTCACAATGAATAGCACTTTTCCTGACTCTCAGCTTTTGACATCTTATTGGTGAATAAGCTAAAACTGTATTTCAAGGTACCAATTCTCGTCACTCCCAGTAGAAAAGGAGATAGTAGCCTCCTACAGTTCAAAAGTTTCTTGAATCCCATTCAAGATGATCAAGTACATAAATTAAATCCAGAAAAAAGTAATAAGCTACAGCAGTTCAAGATCAGGCAGAGAAAAGGAAAAGAGCAATGTAGAGAAATGCCTCTTGCCCCCCTTAGAATAAGCCCGGTAATTTACAAATTACAGGCTCTGGTGGACTGATGCAATAAAAACAACCTGGTTTTGAATGTTAACAAAACAAAGGAGATCATTGATAATTTTAGAAAGAGCCGGCATAGTCATACTCTATTTTGCATCAAGGCTGCAGCTCTGGAGGTAGTCAACAGTATTAAGTATCTGGGGGTGCAGATAATCTGACTTACTCTCTTCATTCATTATCTTTAGTGAAACGTGCAAACCAATGTTTGCGTTTCCTGTGTTGGATGAGAAGAGCATTACTTGGACTTCAATAAGGCATTTGATAAAGTAGACTACAACCTACTACTTGATAAGATAGTAAAATGTAGGTTAGACTGCATCACCACCAAATGGATTCATAACTGGCTGACCAACTGCACTCAATATGTAGTCCTCAATAGAACTGCATCTACATGCAGGGAAGTATGCAGTGGGGTCCCCAAGGCTCTGTTTTAGGCCCATCTTCATCAATCATTTGGACAAAGGAATAGATGGGGAACTTATCAAATCTGCCAGCAACACCAAGCTGGCAGGAATAGCCAACACTCCAGAAGATAGGCTTAAGATACAGAAGGATCTTGATAGACTTGAACACTGGGTGCTATCTAACAAAATGAAATTCAGTGGTGAAAAAGGTAAGGTTCTATATTTAGGCAAGAAAAACAAAATGCACAGGTACAGTATAGGTGGTACTTGCTCAGTAGTAATAACTGTGAGAGGGATCTTGGAGTCCTAGTGGACAATCTTTTAAATATGAGACCGCAATGTGCTGCAGCTGACAAAAAAGCCAGCACAGTTCTAGGCTGCATAAATAAAGAGATAGAATCAAGATCATGTGAAGCAGGGGTGTGAATCTCAATTGTATCCTGGCCAGTTCATGATGTATCATGATGTTTTTTGCCTTTTCTGAGCCGGGGTGGCCATGGCCTGCATGAGCTGTATCTGGCCTGCAGGCCGCCAGTTTGACAGCCCTGAAGTGAAGTATTAACACCACTTTATAATGCTTTGGTAAGACCACACTTGGAATACTTCATCCAGTGTTGGTTGCCATGATGTAAAAAAGATGTTGAAACTCTAGAAAGAGTGCAGAGAAGAGCAACAAAGACTGGAGGTTAAAACATATAAAGAATAGTTGCTGGAATTGGGTATGTCTAGTTTAATGAAAAGAAGTAGGGGTTACATGATATCAGTGATCCAATATCTCAGGGGTTGCCACAAAGAAGCGGGAGTCAAGCTATTCTCCAAAGCACCTGAGGACAGGACAAGAAGCAATGGATGGAAACTAATCAAGGACAGAAATAACCTAGAACTAAGAAGAAATTTCCTGACAGTGAGAACAATTAATTAGTGGAACAACTTGCTCCAGAAGTTGTGAATGTTCCAACACTGGAAGTTTTTAAGAAGAGATTGAATAATCATTTGTCTGAAATGGTATAGGAGATTGGACTAGAAGAGCTCCAAGTCTATTCTATTCTATTCTATTCTATTCTATTCTATTCTATTCTATTCTATTCTATTCTATTCTATTCCATTCCATTCCATTCTAATACTATTCTGAAACACATCTTTCTCCTTCTGTTCTGACCTCTTATTACAATTGAGAATGTTTTAACAAACTGCATCACTGTTTGGTTTGGTGGAAGCAGTGCCTCTGATAGAAAATCCATACAGAGTGGTAAGGACAGCTGAGAAAATTATAGGAAGCTCGCTTCCTGTTATTCAGGATATTGCTTATAAGCACTACGTGCTTAGAGCTCGAAGCATTGTTAGAGACCCCACACACCCACTTCATGGTCTGTTTTTGTTGCTCCCTTCTTGGAGGTTTCAAAGTATCTGTAGCAGGACTACTAGATTTCATAACAGCTTTGTTCCTTATGCCATCCATCTTGTAAACTTGCAAGTTTCTTTTTTTTTCCCCACTATGTACTGTATATGTATACATTTAAACTAGACTGTGATGTTTCTCTGTGTCATATACATGTATGTATGTGTTTATATGCATAATGGTTATTTTTTGAAAGCTGAATGCAATGAAATTTCATTTTAATGTATGCTGATCAGTGTACATTTAAAGTGACAATAACGTTTTTATTCCCTTCTGTTCCATTCCATTCCATTCTATACTATTTTAAATAAAGGATAAATTTCCCAAATTTTCAGGATCCACATTCCATTTAAGGCAACAGACCAAGTCCAGTTCTGAGGAAGTAAGCCTGGGAGTGGTTTGTTATCCACAGATGGTACAGAAAGAAGAAGGAAGACAAGTAGATATGAGAGAGTTTGAGATTGTGGGGAAAGAGTTGTTTTCTTTCCATTCTATTCCAGTGGAATGGCTGTCTGTTATCGCATTGTTAATAAATAAATGAAACAGTACTTGGGAAGGTGGACTGAGCTGTGTATTTAATTAAGATAGATGCAATAGTCCACCTTCCCAAGTACTGTACATAGATTTCAATTTCTGCAGATGAAACTGCAATATAACACAAGATGAAATTGGTGTATAACCAAGGTGCAGATCCCCACTTTTTGCTTGGCTCACCATCCGTGCAGGTCACTGGCCTCTTTCTAACTGCAGGGACAGATAATGCCATCCTCTTGCTTCCTAGCCCATGGCAGATTTAGCCCTATCTGTTTTCTAAACACAATTCAAAGCTATTTATTTCCCCAAGCAAAGCAATCTTGAATTGCAGCACTGAATATGTTCACCATTTTTTCTATAATCTTTCAGTTGACCCATCAATGGCTCATTCAGTCAATGAATTATCCTCACCTCTCAAACTTCATGTTCTGTTCGACCCATTCACCATTTTGACTTCTGCCCAGAATGGGTGAAGCACGCTTCCTTACTTTTCCATCCTCTGCCCACAGTACTACAAAGATTCCCTTACTACTTTTCTTTACTGTTTTAAAAAACATCCTTAATTTTTAAACACCTTTTATTTTAAAGGTTGCTCCTTTATGTTTATGAAGCTGAACAATCACTTCTTCCTTATTAGCAAAGTTTGTATGGACCAGTAAAGGGGCATAGGAACAAACTCACTTGCTATTGCTTTAATTATGGTAGCATGGGAGGGTATAATGGTATCATAAAAGGGAAAAAGGAAGGGTTTTGTGTTGATTACAGAGGAAATAATATGGGAAACAGGGATGAAGGTGTTTGTGTGGGCAAAAGTCTGGGAAACAAAAGGAAAGGAGTTCATTAGAAAAAAAAAAACAAACCATAAAAGGAAAAGGCAGGCAGAAGCCGACTCAGCTACACAATTACCAAGCACCAAGGCTTGCCTTTCTGGTATGCATGAGAAGGGCCAGAAGCAGTAGTGTGGCTAATTGGGTCATATAAGTAGCCAAAGTTAGGCTGAGAACATTCTGGCCCTGTTGCCAACCCACTGAAATTTAGACTGGAAATTCTGACCTTGGCTTGAGAGTCACCTGGAGCTCTTTCAGAAATAAGCAGCTTAGCCTGGAAGGCAGAATTACCCAAGAGGTCTAGATTTGTTGATTAGAGGTGGGTAGTTTCATTCTAACTTGTTTATACAAAAGCACGTTCTAAACTGAACCTCTGATTAAACATGCAAAAAAAAGTACAATGTGAAAACTACATTAATCTTTGAATATTGTAAAGAAAATCAAAAGCTAAATTTTAACAGTGCCTTTTCACACAATAGCTCTGTTGCAAACTCTATTTTATTTTATACAAAGCAGCGTGTTGACCCCAGCTATAGGTACTATTGAAGTGAAAACAGAAATCAATTTTCATTTTCATACACTTATTTCTTTAAATCCCCCTGAATATTATTCCAACTCCACATTTTAATTTAAAAAAAAGAAAGACTGACCACTGATAACTTCAGTAGGTTGTTCAGTTGGTGGTTGTACTGTATCAATTGCTGCACGGACCCGTTTTTCTATTGCTGGGAGCTCAGTGAAATCTCTCACAATAATTGCAGTTTGGGGATTGTTGGTGATCCTTTGCAATTCCGCACTGTCTACTTGTCTTGTTCCAATTCCCAGAGTACGAATCCCAGAGTTCTGCACCAGAATAGTAGGCCTGCTGATATCATCCTGGGATCTCCCTCCAAGCAAGAGGATTAAATGCTGGGGGATTCCATCTTCTCGCCTACTTCCTGCCGATCTGATGAAGAGTGTCTTCATGACATGGTCCAGAGCTTTCCCAACATTCAGGGGAGAACCACCTTTGTGCCTTAAGCGCCGTATGCTTTGTAGTACACTCTCTTTGGTCCGGTAGGTTTTTAAGTCGAACTCAGGAAACACTTCATTGCTAAACTGGACAACAGCAATTCTCACTTTGCTTGGTTGGATATCTAGCTTCTGGACAATCCGGTAAATGAAATCACGAATATGAGCAAGTCCATCTGGTCTGACATCATCAGAGCTATCAACAAGGAAGACGATGTCCATGGCTTCACTGTCAATGTCTACAATGAGGGGTGGGGTGAATAGGAAAACAGAATGAGACCAGCTTTTTTTCTCACAGAAAGGAGTTCATGTCTAATGTGCAGCTTCAACCCCTGGCTAGTCCCTGTCTCAGTGAAGAGAATCTGGGGAAGCAGCAGTAGACAATTTAAAGTCCTGTCAGTTGAGAGGTAAGGCTGGTCCAAAAGGACCAGTGGTCAAATGCTGAACTTACACTTTATTTTCCTCTGCTTTTTTTTTTTAATCCAAAACACCTCTTACAATTCTGTTTGGTGCTTTGGATCCCTGAAAATGTGGCAACCCTGGCTCTCAAGTGAGAGGGTTGTCATCCTGGTCCCAATATAGAAATAAAATTTGGCTTGGACCTAGAGAAATACTACAGCTCTGTCTTGCCAAATGCCGAGAATGATGCACCTCTATGCTAGTCACTGCAAAAAGGAAGCAGGAAAGACAGGCAGATGATGGGGCAATGTTCTACGAAGACAATCCTACAAATCACCTTACCTGTAGGGCGACTTGTATCAGCAATGATTTTTCGTATCTGTTGGGTAGTTAATGTTGTAAGAGGGGTTAACATTTTCTGTTCCAAAGTAGGTAGATCTTGGTAACTTGACACTTGAAACACATAATCAGAACTAAGTGCTATTTTGGTCATTTCCTCAGGATCCACATTCTTTCCAATAGGAAGCGGAGCCACACCAATCTGTTTGATCAGGTGTACCGGGTTCTCTGTATCATCATGAGGTTGGTGAGAGTAAAGAAGGATTAAAAACTGAGGTGCTCCTTCCTCTATGCGGCTCCCAGAAGGCCTTGTAAAGATATTCTTTGACACATATTCTAAGGCAGAACCAAGATTCACTTGCCTCCCACCTTTGGGACTTAGTCTTCTCACTGCAGCTAGCACCTCCTCCTTAGTAGAATGTGCATTCAGCAAAAATTCAACTTTGGGACTATCACTGAATTGAATTACAGCTACTCGAGTAGCATCTGAACCCACATTCATGTTGTTTATGAGCCGTTCGATAAATTCACGAATTGAAGGGAACTCAGAAATTGCAAACTGAGAGCCATCAATAAGGAAAACAACGTCTTTCTTTGTAGCTGTAGAACAAAGAATGGCATTAGATGGCAGTCAAAATTATACTAGCAAATAAATTCAACATGATTAAAGTAGTTAATTAGCTAATACTAACAGCCACACAGTACAAAATATTGTTAAAAAGCTATAGAAAATACACATTGAAAATCTGATTGGAAAATAGCGTTTCTGATTAAATTGATAAATGATGTTTATAAATTGTACTTTTCTGCTGCCTATTTCTTCCATAAAATTCTCAGGGGGAGACATAGAGGGTACCCATATACACTACTTGCTTTACTAAGGTATGCAATTGTTGAATAGTGTAATGTATGTTTATTAGAATTGAATGTATGTAAGAACATTTTTAGAACATTTGTATCATGGAAATAAAAATACTGATTGAATAAAATATTAACAAAAATCTATGTGATGGCTTGAATCCTACAAATCTGGAAATTTTAATCTATATTTAGAACAATAAATAATGGTTTGTGGTGCTGTGCAACTCCAGTTAGCCTAGACTCCTTCTGAACTGGAATACCACATAGTATCAGCTATTCTACTGCTATATGCAGGAGACTATCATATCCAATATATTGTATAGAAGACTATCATCATTATAAAGGATATTTGCCTATTTTTCTATGTCAGTATGCATGGGAAGTCAGATCACTAGTAAAGTAACACAGACGTTATATGCATATTTTTTATTTTCTATAAATGCATGCCCTACTCTCTGTACAAAAAATATTTAGAAAATAAAATGTGACCTAGGAACGTAACCTAGAATTATTTAGTCACTCCAATGATTTGATTATGCACTGTTTATTCAACATTTTCTGCCCCATTTATAAGCAGGGAAATGGGAGGGGAGGGGGGAATCTTTCAGTAAATTTATCTAGGAACAGAAGAAGTTATCCAATATTTTGTGGATGGAGTTCACCGATCGCTATTGAAGTGGTAAAATTATTTCCTTGTTTTCTTCCTCCCGCCCTTCAACTCTCTTCTTTCACTCTGTCCCACTGCATTTGGAAGAACATCAATTGGGTGGACACCTGGCTGCCAGTAATCATTTTTCATAATGACCAGAACTGTTATCCTTTCTGGGCATTAGGGCAAGAATTAGTGATTGTAAAAAGAAAAAGGGAAAATCTTTACTGGCCTTATTTATGGAAATTGAAAGTGGTGGGGATTGAGAAAAACAAAATCTCAAGAAATGTTCATAAAGATATCTTCCGGCTTTACTAATTATATGGTTGAAGAAATGTGATTGTCTTATCCAGAATTCTAAAGCGAGCAGGCTGTTGAAAACAATCTTTTTAAAAAGTAGCAACAATTAATTTTGGTCACCCTGTGTTCATTATTTGCTTTATTTTAAGTTGCAAATTACAGTATAATTTAAAAAATAAATCCCCTGACCCAAATGGTGAAAAAATCAACTCAGGGACCGAGGCTTCTATTTCTGCCCTGGTCAGTTAGACCAGGGGTCCCCAACCACCAGGCCGTGGACCGGTACCAGTCCATGGAACATTTCCTACTGGCTGCCGGTTTGCTGGGCACCGCCATCTTGTTTGACAAGAAAGTGCTTCCGGGTGAGCTTTTCCGGATGGAAAGCGGTGTTTGGGTGCTGAAAGAATCCTCGTGCCTTAGTTTCATCGAGGGGAGGGCTTCGAACGAAACTAAGGCACGAGGATTCTTTCAGCACCCAAGCCAAGGCGAGCCGAGCGACCGTCCCAAAGCCGTCCCAAAGCGAAGCCCATCGACAAAGGTACAAAGGAGGAGTTGAAGGTGGCAGGGAGAAGCGGGGAACGGCTGGCTGGCCGGTCGCTCAGCTCACCTTGCCTTGTCATGCGTGCTGATGCCGGTACCGGGCCACGGATCATTTTGTGATGCCGGTACCGGGCCGTGGCACAAAAAAGGTTGGGGGCCACTGAGTTAGACAACACTGAAAGGAGTTTCTGTAAGGTATTCAGTTCACTAATGCCAGAAACAAGGACAGCAAATTCAGAAACAAAAGAATTTGTCTGCAGCTCAGTAACATTTGCATTTTCAATGCCAATGCTAAAAGGATCATTTTCAGATCCAAGGAAGCTTTTTTGACATAATCTCTTGTCTTTTTAGCTGACAGCAAAATCAAGAACTGTGGGACACATTCAGATATCCTGCTTCCAGGTGGTCTCAGAAACACATCTCTAGCAAGTTAATTAAAGGCTGCCCCTGTGTTAAATGAACAGCTCATAGGAAATAATCTCTGAATGACCTTGATCATCTCAATCTTGTCACAGAATATTCATTCAGAAGGAACTCTAGGCTGATACTGGACTACATCAACCTGAACTTTATCAGGACCAATATTCAGGCTATCAGCAATTCTTTGTACAAAAGTATTAAATTCTGTAGAACTACTTCTGCAGTCATCTGAACCATCTATCAGAAATACATCCTTCTTCTTCTGAACTTCAGATTCACAGATTCAGAAGGAAAAAATGAGATTCATCTTCATACCAATCATTTCTTAGAATGTGTTCATTTTTATCTTTTAAATTAAAATTAACTTTGCTTGTTCTACTAACAGAGTTTTAAAAAAACCTGGGAAAACTATGAAAGAAAAGGCATCATAAAGGAACAATGACATGAAGCCCAAAAATGTTTGTTTCAGAATTTGCTGATAGGCCAGATAGAGAGTATGAGACCTAGTAGCTTCTCAGAGAAATCTTCTGCTATTGAACTTGAATAAATTATTTGACTTGAAGTAACATTGTGTCTTTCATAATACAACTGATTTTTGATATTTTCAAAGTTTCTTTTTGCAGCTTTCTACATAGCATAGTCATTTCCCAATGATCATGTTCTGGATTGTTGCTTTCCTGATGCCATCTGCAGCAGGATTACAAAGAGAGTAGAGCTGGTACATTTCTACCCTAAAATACTTCCTAAGGAATGTTGCTTTTCCATTACAAGGGTCAGAGTAAAGCCGCTTATTTACAAAGAGTCCTTGGGAGAGTTGGTAATGAGATTCCCTTCCCCCAAATGATTTTGTATTTTTACAGACCTGACAAATAAATTAACACTAGAGACAAGTTTCAGGGCTGAAAAATCTTTAAGTTCTCAGATTCCTAGAGTCACTAGAATCTTTATTCACATTGGTTTTCACTTCTTGCACTTATTGGCAAAGGGGTTTTTTCTACGATATTGTGAAGCCCTGATTGAATCTATTATTTCGAGGTGGGATTATTAGGGGTTTCATGGGTAATGCTTTTCAGTAGCAAAACATATCAAAATCCCAGAATAAAATTCCTAAAAGAAGAACTAGCTAGCTTTTCCCATTCCAACTTTATCGACCATGAAAAATGGTCCTGTACTTTGTTCTAAATTTGGATTCAGCTTATAATGGTTTGTCAGTTTTCAGCTGAAGAATATGTTTGCAAATTTGCCAAAGTGCACTGGCTTCATCAATATATCTGATTGTCTATGTGTCACCTTCCTTGTGTATCCGGTCACACTTGGCCAATAAAGAATTCTAATTCTAATCCTGACTGATTTTAGTAGGCTGTAGAAAATCAGATCTTTCCTAACACGGAACGTCTGTTTGATTGCAGTGGGGTAACACCCCAGTCAATCAGTCTGAATATTTTTAAAAAATAATGAACATCAAGTGATAAAATAAAAATAAAGAAATATACCTTGAGGTTTAAGTTCTATGGTTTTCAGTAGATTGACTATTTCGTGTTGTATGTCTCCAATTTGAGAAAGGGTATCAACCTTTAGAATGAACTGAGGGGCATAAACTATCCTTTCTAATTCAGCTGGATCAGAGGTCTTGGTTTGGATAACAAAAGTAATCACACCAGTTCGTATCACGGTATCAGCACTTTCATCCACAGTGTCATCTGATGTCCCAGCCACAAGAAGAACCAGGAATTGTGGCACGCCTTCTTCAATCCTGCTCCCAGCATGTCTTACAAAGATGTTTTTTACAGCATAATCTAGTGCAGCTCCAATGTTCAGTAGCTTTCCTCCTTTCATCCTCATCTTTCTCACTTTCTGAAGGATTTCTATCTTGGATGGGGTGTCAAAGTTGAACTCCACGTTTACATTGTCACTAAATTGTGCTACAGCTACTCGTATAGTATCTGGCCCCACATTCAGATCAGAAATAATTTGGAGCAGAAACTCTCGAATAGTAGGAAACTGGCCAGCCACGTTCGATGAGCCATCAATCAAAAATAAAATATCAATCTTGTTTTCTGGAATGAAGTGAGGTAAAAATATTCAGTATGTATCATTTTACTACAGAATTTATGTATATATAAGTGACAAGAAATCCAAATCACATTTGATTAGTTAGAAATATAATTTGACTCAGGTGATCGCTTCCTACAATTCCGATAGGAAATGGAAAGATTATTGGCATTCCTATATTTACAATTTAAGCTGCTCCTGTCACTTGCTCAAAAGGCTCAATTCTGAGATGGTTTAAGAAAAAACTTTCTGGACTGAGACGTTTTGGTAATGGCATGTGAGATATTCAGTCTGAGCAACAGGGTGTTGTGTTCTCCCACTGGACCCTTCTGCTATTGGGCCCCCCACTTCTCTCTGCTAAGAAAGAGCCCCCAACCACTCTCCCTCTTGTGGGGGTTGTATATGTATATAATAACAATAATAAAAATTAAATGATGCTGGACCAGTGGGTGGTACTTTTCAATTTCCTGGACCACAGTTGAGAGTCGGGGACCGGCCCAAAGTCATCCACTGTGCCATCTATGCCTAAAGGCAGGGCAGAGCCTGGCTATCCCACTCCTGGCCCAGCACCATAGCCATGGCAGTGCCTCTAGTTGTTAATATAACATATAACATATAAAATGTCAGATATAATAAGATACAATTAACAGTTCATCAAATTAGCATGTCACTCAAGACATATCTCTGTGATAAAAGAAAAGTCAATGTAATATGAAAAAAAGCAAATTACCTGTTGATGTGCTCGGAACTTCTTCCACATCTCCACTAACATATGTTGTTAGCGGACTAATCATTTCCTGTGGTAAAGCTGGCAGAGAGCTGAATTCATCCTTAAAATATACTATTTGTGGATTAAATGCAATCTGCTGAAGTTCTGCTAGTTTGGCGTTCCTAACCCCAACACAAAAGGTGAGCACTCTCGCACGAGCTAAGGCATTGGCGGCATCTTGGAAGGCATCAGCAGATGGCCCTGCCGCAAGGAAGACTAGCACTTGAGGGACATTCTCATCTTTCCTGCTCCCACCTGCTTCAGTGAAGTGATTGGAACGCACAAAATCTAGTGCAGCTCCTGAATTCAGAATTGACCCTCCTTGCAGTCTCAACTGCCTCAGACGAGAAAGGACATCTGCCTTGGTTAGGAAGGAGTTTAAAAAGAATTCTGTCTTGGGGTTCTCACTAAATTGTACTACGCCGATTCGTACATCATCAATTCCAACAACAAGAGAATTAACTAGGTTCACAAGAAAGTCACGGACATATGGGAAGTTGGTATTTCCAACGTTGGCTGATCCATCCAAAAGAAAGACGATATCTCTTTTGGTTACAGCTGCAGTAGAGCACAGAAAATAACATGAGACTTCATAGAAAAACACACCAGTATTGGTCATGTGTGCATTTGCAACTGCGGTACACACATGTATATCTCATTCAAGAGACAACAGGACAGGACAGGACAGGATAGGACAGGACAGGACAAGAAAGGGCAGGCATGAAGAGAAGAAAAGAAGAAACGAGAGGAGTATCAAGAGCCATTTGCCACACCATTAATCAAAATACACCAACTACATTTTAAAATGTGATATTTGTCAGATTTCCATTTGCAAGTAATGATTGCTGACTGCATGTGAGCATGTGGAACTGTGGATAGATTATCTGATATTAAGATTCTATTCCACTGAATTCAGTGGACAATGCAAGTGGGCTAGAAAGTTTTCCAAAGACTCTGATCATCTGGTCAAATAAGGTCAATTGGAAAATCTTCACCTGTATGTTAGATTCAGCTTGATATAGGTAGTTAAGGCATCAGGCTACAAATTGGGAGACTTTAGTTCTAGTTCTGCCTTAGGCACAAAGCCAGCTGGATGACTTTGGGCCAATCACTTTATCTCAGCTCTAAGAAGGAGCAATGGCAAACCACTTCTGAAAAATCTTGCCAGGAAAATTGCAGGGACATATCCAGGCAACCTCTGAAAATCAGACATGATTTGGAAAAAAAAAACATGTACATTGGCAACATGATTTTTTCAGGGTGGAGTGCTCTGTTTTGGCCACTTAATGTATCAAAGAGCAAAATTTCCTGCCATGAACTGGGACTATTTATACCCTTTTACTAGTTGAAAATTTGAATTTTATCTAGAAATCTTTAGATCACAATGTTACTAGGCATGGACCGTGGCATAGAAAGTCAAAGAATACAATCTGCGATTAATCCAATTTTAACAGATGAGTTTTAGATGAGATTAATCATAACACACTGGGCCATCACTCCAGAGACGAAACTTACTTAGCAGTTGCACTCTCCCATGCAATTTCCCTGACCTTCACCACAACTGTCACAGCCTTGTGCACCCCTGTGCACTCACATGCACCCTCCCCAACCCACACCACACCCCCAATAGTATGCACCCTTTGCATACTATTGTATAGCCTCCCCAATCTGCATGGAAACTTTCACACAATCCCATGCACCATCCTAATCTGCGTGGCACTCCTTGCACACCTCTGCATA